GGCATATATCCAACCCTGCCTGTAGGAACCAACTTATCTTTAAGTCATGGAATTTTGCTAGTGTCCTCTTTGGCACAGGTATGTCAAATCCCCATCGCTACAGCTTACGAAGGGTTTGTTGTCCTAAGGAAAACTGCTGCCTTTCAAATAATTTTATTAAAGCTAGAGGACAAGCACTGCTTAAGAGAATGGTTTTCCATTTTTACATCTGTCAGCAGACTAACTTCTGAACAAGAGCATTGTCTTACCACTGCTGTCAATCAGCCTGAGACCCAGTATCTGTTTATTTTCAGGTACAACTCTTGCTCTTAAGGATAACTGCATTCTTTCAATAACCACATTCAAAATTATTAAATATATATAAAATAATTAAAAGAAACCGTTTAATAAAATGTATGATTTTCCAGAAACAATTGTCTACTGAATCTCAGATTTGCAAAAGAGGAATTAGTGTACAATTAGCCAAATGCAAGAAGTTGCTAAATACTAAGTAAATTATAATATCCAACTTCTCTGCTACAGAAAACTGAGGTATTACAATAGAGATAAAATAAGCAAATAATTACTGCTTTAACTATTTCACTTTAAAATGGATTTGCAGTTCAAGCCAGATGCAAAAAGTTTAAGAGAATACTTAAATAACAATAAAGGTACAAGCTCAACATATTTACTAATAAAGAAATTAAATTAATACCAAGTAAAGATAAAATTTGACTATTCTAGCGCTGCTGACCAAAACAACGCATTCTCGGTGTTGGTCCTAAAAAGTCGCCTTTGGAATTACACAGTACCCTCAATTGTATTGTGAGAAATATGGCAGTAAAATTTGTAAAGCGCCAAGGAGACATTTTTAAATACAAACCCATATAATGGCTGAGAATCTCTCAACCACGTAGGTTCTGAAAACGAGAATTTAGAACATGACTTGTGAAGTGCACATGAGACTTTGGAAAGAATTCCTAATAATCCATTAAAATGAAAGCAATGAAAGTTTATCTGAATATGGACTGCCTTCTGTGTCAGAATTGGTTGTCACACTATCATTAATGGAATATTTTGCAAATGAAGCAGTTCAGGAGAACCACTGGGAAAGAGGCAGAAACAGAGATGATAGTTCACACAATTTCACTCTGTTCTACTGACTGTAATACAAAACACTAAGAAAACAGTCTTGAACATATTGAACAATTCAAAAAGCATTCAAAAAAATTTTTGTTCCAATATTTTTCAAAAAAACCTAAGCATCTACTTTAACAATTTAATATTGCAGTGCACGTACCGTATAATAACATTTAGTGCTTCGTATTCAACTACCATAGACTGTACATCTCCTTTAGTAAGTATTGTTTCCAGAGTAGAAATAATACTGGACACCTGAGGAAATAAGAGAACATTAGAGTGAGCACCTAAATACAAATGTTTCCAGGAGGAGCTGGAATTATGAAATTTTGTTTCCCAGGACTGTGCCCTGTGTTTGGATTATGCTGGGTCTAGTTTTAAGGTTAGAGCTCTGACCAAACTGGAGTATTCACAACATTTCTCCCCCATGCTGCTGCACTGGTATCTAATAGAATTGTTCACACTGCAGAGCAATAATTCAAGAAAGCAATAATTTGTTGGCTCTTTTCCCTCTGTAGCTGCCCTTACAATTTTTTCAAGAACTTAGGCCCTGTACTTGGCTGTCAAATTCGATGGAAAACGACCTTCAGGTTCAAAAGCTACTGAGTGGAGAGTGACCAAGAGTCAAGACAAGCCTCATCTGCCTAGGAAATCAGGCCACACACAAAAAAAAAGGTGAAGAAACTTACCTCCTTTTTAACAATTTCAGAAGGAAACGCCTGCTTAGAGATCACCCAAAGTGCCCGTGTGCGAGTGTTTTTGTCTGAAGTTTTTACAGCAACACTGTTCACCATTGAAAGCAAATCTCGTATTTCAGTTGCTGAAAGCAGAATGCACGGCACTCAAATTCTGTTCATGCAATTCTAATCAGCTTCTTAGCAAGTTTCAGGTCATTTTGCTCAGTTAACATTATTAAAGATCCATTCAACTAGAAGTCCCAATGGACATGATTTAATGTCTTAAACATTATTTTTTGGCAAGTTTTGGAAATTTCTCTCAAAAGAAACTAGCAAAAAACATCAAAATGTATTAATATACAGATACTGTTAATGTATGTCCTGGTTTTGGCTGGGATAGAGTTAATTGTCTTCCTAGCAGCTGGTATAGTGCTGTGTTTTGGATTTAGTATGAGAAGAATGTTGATCACACACTGATGTGTTAGTTGTTGCTGAGCAGTGCTTACGCTAGCCAAGGACTTTCCAGCTTCCCATGCTCTGCCAGGTCCACAAGAGCCTGGGAGGGGGCACAGCCAGGACGGCTGACCCCAACTGGCCAACGGGGTATTCCATACCCTATGACGTCATGCTCAGTATATAAACTGGCCAGGGAGCAGCAATCACTGCTCGGGGACTGGCTGGGCATCAGTCGGCAGGGGGTGAGAAACTGCATTGTGTATCACTCATTTTGTATATTCTATCATCATTATTATTATCATTATTTTCCCTTCCTTTTCTGTTCTATTAAACTGTCTTTATCTCAATCTACATATTTTACTTTTTTTTCGATTCTCTCCCCCATCCCACTGGCGCGGGGGAAGGGGGGAGGTGAGCGAGCAGCTGTGTGGTGTTTGGTTGCCTGCTGGGTTAAACCGCAACAACGTTGTGTGTCTATTATTAGATTATTCTTTATAAGAAACCAGAAAACCATAAAGCTAGAAGACAAATTTACCTAAAAACACTAGCCCTAAAGATTAAATATCTTTGGCCAATTTCACTGCTATACTGACATGTATAAATTCATCTTACAGTCTACAAGAGCCTTTGTTATTAAAGAGGGTGGTAAAGTTGTAACTGAGGTAACAGCGAGCTCATTACACAAAAAAGAATAAGGCTAACACAGGACTTACATGGAATTAGGAAGACAGATGGAGAATCATGTATTCCTTTAAAACTCAAAACTAATGAAGCCTGATTTCCTACAAATTTGGGCTTTGCGAGTAAATGATCTCACTACCTGAGAAAAATAAGCTCACATACGTTCCTTTCCTCAATAAAGAGTACATATGCTTTTTGTCCTCTCTCCCTAACTATCCACTGTTTTCAGGACTTAATTATTTCTGAAACCTGACATTCTCTAACAAAATTGACTGTAATTTATCAACTGGTTAAAAAAAAGGTTATGGGGGAAAGGAAAGGGAACACACAGACATTATTATAGATGCTTCATTCTCACAGGAAATCAGGCTAAAGTTTGATTAACAGGAAAGCAGGACACCCTGGAAAATGAGTAAAAGAACCGAGAGAAAGAATCAATTTCAATGAACAGAATGGCAGAGTCACATGAAAAAATGCTCTCTGCACATCCACACATATGATTTTGTTCAGTCTTGGGCAAGGTTAAGTTTCTCTCTAATAAAGGTCATTCCAGAACATTTGTCCAAGAGTATTTAACACTTCTCAGAAGAAGAAAAAGAAAGATTAATTGACAGTATGCCATTTGTTATTACCATTTGAAGAGTCACTATAGACTCCCGCACCATCAAGGCATCACACAACAGCCAAATCACAATACATTTCCTTCTGTGCCCACGAAAGGCAACCTCAGCTTAACCACCTTCCACCACCACACAACCTGTCTATCCGACACACACACAGAGCTGACACCGAGCAGTTTCTGATCATGTTACTGCAACTGGATATGCCTGACCCCTGGAACACGCAACAGGTACCTCCCAAGGACCAGCCAACTTGGACATTAGCTCTCCCCTATTAACAAAATCCAGTGTTTTTACCTTGATGCATAGCCTCAAGTTCTCAGCAGCAAAACCTTTTGTTAAAGGGATTTAGCACTTTCTAGGACCGTAGGCCGTAAGATTTTGGATTACTTCAAATTAGTTTAATTTGAAATATTTAGCAGCACAATATTTGGGGTTGGACTAGATGACCTTTAAAGGTGCCTTCCAACCCAAACCATTCTATGATTCTACGACTTAAGGTAACAATCACGAATCACTGGGTAAAGGCTGGAAAACACTGAAAAGCACTACTATGCATAGCCAAATTCTACGAACAAAAAAAATGTTTTCATTCTTTTTCCACCCGGACATCTTTTTTGACTAGTAATTCCACAAAACTAATTACAGCACCTAGCTACTACCAAAGCATTTAATGAAACTAGAACTTAGCAAAATGGTATTAGCATAACAGCATGAAAAAATAATTTATGATTTTTTTTGTACAAGATGGAATTAGTGAACTGATCACACTGCTCATATTAGAGACAAAACCACTGTACCACTTGGGAACTGTAAACTTTGTCAAAATTAAAGTATATGCTAACATAGAAATAAAGAAGGAACTCTGATATATATATCTATATACACACTCATTACCAGAACGCACGCTGAAGTTTGTTTGCTTACCAGATAATTCAGACGTAATCTTTGAATTAAAAACGCAGAATCCTAATGCCTGTAATGCCGCATTACTTAGCTCCGAGTTTTGACTAGAAATGTGTGCCTGAAAAAAACCATATACATAAAGTCTCAGTTTATAGAAGTAGTTGTGAAGTATTGCCGTAATACCAACACTTCTGCTCAATGAAGAGAGAGCTGTCAAAAGCAAACACTTGATGAAAAATGCAACCATGTAGGAAACCCTTCCTGATTACATACATGCCAAATCAATAAAACAATTTGAGGTTCTGAAGACATTTTTGTTCTCTGTAATTTAGACATCTTTACTGAAGTAAGTTCTAAACATCCAAAGTTCTTTACTTCTTCGCTTGTTATGTCCTACCACTTGACTCTCCAATTGTTTTTAAACATCTAAAACAGAAGGGAAAAAAAGATGGCTAAGAACAGTCTTTACATTAGTCTTCAAAAAAATTTGACATTTACTGCATATTCCAATTCCCCAGGGTGTTTCTAAAGGCAGACAGAACACACTGTATCTTTTCTGGCTGGAAGATCAGATTTGACTGCATCACACTGCCTGAACACATCCAAGACCCTGTATTTTATTTTTTCTGTAGTAATTTCTAATAACGTGGAGGATATATTTTGCCAACAAACCCTTACTGCTATGTCACTAGCTCGAATTCTTATTAAATGAACTCAAATTTAAGCCTTACAATGGCCACTGACCTTGACACCTAAACATTGTTCACTGAAGTGCAGAAAGTTGAATGGAAAAGACATACCTTAAACACTTTGCAAAGTTGAGGAAAGTGTCTTCCGACATCTGCAGAGAATTCTTTGCCTTCCTCACCCGTCAAGCGACTTCAGGGAGCAGAAGGGAAAACAAGCAATATTCACAGGTTAAACACGTAATTTTAAACTTCTAATACACAATTCATAAGCTAGTACAGAATCATTTCTTTCCTTAGAAAGCTAAAACACAACACTGAAGAAGTTAAGGAAAAGCCAGTCCCCATGCAGTTAGTCTGACATATCAGTAAAATAGTGTTATAAAGTACACGTGTCCTAGTATATTGGAAAAAGTGAAGTGACTAATGTCCCATTGTGTGCTTATGGAGCATAAGAAAAAACATTAAGGGTTTTCATTTTTTGTCAACTTTTATAAAAACATTACAAGTTAATATGCAAACTCTAAATGACTACTGAAAATTAGACAGACTTTCCACAGAAATATATGAGCTTAAAAAAGCACATTCTTCAAAAGCAGTTCTAGAACGCAGGCTCCCCACTCCAGGAAAATTCTGGTTTGACAACTAGCAGTGATGACATTGCACATATCTGAAGAACATCCGTATGGAAAAGCTATACTTATCCTATAAAACGTTAGCAATCAGTTTCACATAGCAAAACCCAACCATATTAAGTGCAACCATTCAGAAGACAACCTCAGAAATCTGTTGTTTCTTAATATTATCTTTAAGTTAGGACGGGTTTTTTTGGTCAGATATTACAGGTTGTAAAATTTTACAGTGTGATCAGTATCACCGACATCTAAGCAGTTACAGCTTCAAAAGTTACTACAAAACTGAAAGACAGGAACTCAAGGGAGATACTGATGGAGAAAGATAGTGCCTTTGCATATGCTAACAAATTCGAAACATCTAGGTAAAAGCAGCACTTGACGTTAAGAAGTACCCCTCCACAAAGAAATGCAATTAAGGCGGGATCATTCCAAAACCCGAAAACCGTATCAAAACCTAACCTTTCTAATGACACAGTCGAAATGCAAGTCTTCTTCCAGTAGGAAAAAAGTTATTATTTCCCAATATTCCTTCACCCACCTCCGCAGTTTTCCCAGGAAGTGTAAAAGGAGAGGCTCTCCGATGAGCAGACACCAAAAAGACGCCCTCCCTCCCGCCCGCCCTCCAGGCCCGCACGCTTCCCCGCGATCTCCAACCAGCGGCCACGCAGCCCCAAGCCCTGCAG